AGCCCCGGCGCGGGGCATTCCCGAACGCGGGCGTGGGACCTGCAGGACCCCCGGCCCGGATCCCCCTTCCCGGGGGTTTCCCGGATCCCCCTTCCCGGGGGTTTCCCGGATCCCCCTTCCCGGGGGCCCGCCCCCTCAAAAAAAAAAATCCTCCTCCCCATGTGAATGGGGGTGTTGAGAAGATCATTAATTGATCGGGTTATTATTTATGAAGCTCTTAATTTATGGGTTTGTTAACTTACTTAAATCAACTCTTTACGTGAATTAATCTCATTTCTATACCGGTTCATTTATACCTTTATACATTTGTACTTCCTCGTGTCTCTGGGTCTCAGCAGCTGCCCCTGTTCCCACCTTGCCCTAATTTCCCTCATTTCAGCCCATTTCTGGGTCCTGGGGGGGAGGTTCAGCCGGAGCTGCTCCACAGTCCTGGAGCAGGGGTGGCTTTGATCCCGTAATTTTGGGGAGAAATCAGATATTTTTGGGGGGCCCTGGACTCCCAGGGATCCCGAGAAGGGGCAGCAGGTTCCCGCTGAGCCTCTGCCTGGGACTGAGCAAAACATTCCCAGAGCAAGGGAAAACGGATGGATTTCTTGGGGCATTGCCATCCAGGCTTCCCGTGGAGCCAGACCTGGGAATTCAACCCCCCCGGTGTCACCTGGTGCTGCAGGGGGAGGAATTACCCTCCTGGAGACGGGATGCTCCTGCCTTTGGGAAGGACTTGGCTCCCAAGGCTTCAGGAGGTGTGGGGTGACCCCAGGTGTGGGTCCCACCTCTTCCTTGGGATGTCCCAGTTTGGAGTCTGGATCCTCCTCTTAAGTGCTTGGACATGTTCAGCTGGTCCCCCCACCGCTCTCCATCCCACCTGGATGATCCCACCTGTCCTCCTTCTGATCCCTAAATCCTCCTCACAGCCCCTTCCCGGGGCTGATCCCACATTTTCCAGTCCCTCCTGCACCAGTAATCTCAGACCTGTCTGTTCCTGTCCTGATCCCGATGGATTGTGAGCTCCCTGAGCCCCTCCAGAGCTGTGGCATCTCCTGGGCTGACTCCTGGGCTTGTGGAGCTTCCTTGGAGCCAGTTTTCCATGGTTTTGGTGGTGGATCACCATTAAACCCGGATCGTTCAGCTGTGGAGTCGGGGGATCCATCCCTGTGTCCAGCTGCTGTTCCAGCTGCAGGGAGAACTCTTCCCCCTGTTTTTTTTCCACCCTGTGGATCATTCCAGCAGCGTTCTGGGCTGAAGTGAGGGCACTGAGTCCCTGAGGTGCTGATCCAAAGGGATGGCAGGGCGGGTTTGGGATGAGCAGGAAAGTCCCAGCTCAGCTTTGGGTAAAGCCTGAACTGGTTTAAACTGGGGGCCTGGAATTCCTACCAGGAGCTGGTGTTCCCAGGATCTCACTGGTGGTTATCCCAGCAGGAACGAGCTGTTTCCTGGGCAGGTTTGGGATAAACTCCCATTTCCCATCCGGAATTCCCGCGGGGCCGTGGGAGCCTGCCCGGGGCTGGGAGCGGGTGGGGTCACACCTGGAGCCCCAGGTGAGCAGGGATGTTCCCAGCCTGGTTATTCCTGGGAGGAGGAGAGGGTGGAGGTGGATTTTCTGGGAATGATTTGCCTGTCAGGAGGATTTTCCTGCTGGTCTGACTCCGGAATCCGTCCGATGGCTGCGGGTGATCCGGAGCTTGCACGATGTCCCTGAAGGAATTCTCTGTTAGCGTGAAATTCCTGACTTTCCAGCTTGGGAATGCCCTGGATGGATCCAGCCCCGTGCCCTGGGCTGATCCCTCAGCAGGGCAGGGGGGATTCTGCCCCTCTGCCCCTGTCTCAGCTGAGACCCCCCTGCAGAGCTGCCCCAGCCCTGGGAACAGCAGCAGGAGGACGTGGAGCTGCTGGAGAGAGTCCAGAGGAGGCCCCTGAGCTGCTGGAGATGCTCCTGGGGCTGGAGCCCCTCTGCTCCTTGGGGTGTTTGGGGGGCCAATAAAGTGGATTTTGGAGTGTCTGTGCTGTGGCTGCTGGGGGAGCAAACAGCTGCCTGTGTTACTGGGAGATGGGGAACGGGGTAACAGATAAAATTCCACTGGCCCAGGGTGCTCCAAGCCCCCTTCAGCCTGGCCTTGGACACTTCCAGGGATCCAGGGGCAGCCACAGCTTCTCTGGGCAACCTGTGCCAGGGCCTCACCACCCTCCCAGCCAACAATTCCTTCCCA